AATATAAAAAGGGTGTGACAGGAGATATCGGACTGGGGCAGAGTTAGTGTGTTGATCGCAAGAATTCAAGGTATAGCTGCTTGGTCGTAGTAGTCCCTTGGAGTCTTTTCATTTTATGGTACTGTCAACTCTTATTCGAACAATATTGTATATTTGATCCTTGAGATCATTGCATGTATTCAGTTAGAGTTCGCGACTCAATATTACCAGTCTTGGGAGGTTGTTATATTTGTTTCCGCTTTTGGTTTCGATACTTGTATTAAATTATCTATGAAAAAAAATGGCTCGAAATGTAATTGTAATTGGCTTACCTAGTCTTAGAGACTAAGTGCCATCACGACGCCCGTGATGGGATTTTGGGTCGTGACAAATTAATACATGTCAAAATGAAATATATTTCGTATTGATATACGAGGCAAGACTCTTACCCACCAAACTTGATATCTAAAGTATATAAAAGTTGAATTTACTCCTATCATGGATGAAGATGGCAAAGGATATCAATATGAGAAACTTTAGAAGCCTTTCTTAGTGAAAATCTCAAATAAATTAGTTAGCAAAATCATAAAATTTAGAATAAACTTCAAAGAGTCACAAAAATAACTCTTCTTCCACAGACATATTATAAAAAAATACTTAATAATACTTTGTGTAACATCAAAATAAATTCTTTTTATGTAGTCATATTGTTCTACTCATATAAATATTAAGCATTACTTCATATTAAATAATAGATTGTAAATCATTTAATAAGGCGAAAGCAACCATAGCCTCTAAATTTGTTAGACTATTTTAAAGAGCAGCACAAAATACTTGCAACATAAGATGAAAATATTTTGGGATGCAGCCTATAGTCGATGTCCAAAGAACAAGGAATATACTCTTTTGATAAAGCTAAAGAACACGGACTTTTGCTATATTTTTTTATGAAACCAGATAAAGGTGGGGCCATAAGGTAGCAAGAAGGAGAAGAAAAGCACAAAAAATCATATATTAGATGAATATACAGGTTAATCCACAGTATTATATATAGAGCTTGATATTGCCGTACGAGCTTATTACAGGCTTTGGACAAATCTTTGCAAAGGGAACTTGTCAAAGAATCTAGATCTGGCTTGTTTTTATACAAATATTCTACCACATCCATATCAAAATAGTCCATGGCCTGCAAAACGAAGAGAAATAATTGTTTCAAGAACGTAATATTATTTTCTTCTTACTCAAGAAAGTACCATATATTACCTAATTACAAGACAATAGAGAATCAAAATTATTAAGTGATGTATATCAGCTTCTAATGAGAAATTAAATTGTAGCCTCTTCATTTGCATTGCAGTAATCGTGGTGGTGGGGGATAGGAAAATACTATGTTTTAAGGAACAAGCTTTAAGGAATTTAAATACTATGTTCTGTGTTCGTCTTAACATTTGTGTGTTGGAGACTAAACGAGAAAGAGACATTAAAGTGTTGGAATTTGTTCTGCTATCATCATTGCGATGTTTAAATGGACTCTTATCTAACAGTCCAAGCAACCATGAACGTGTGGCAGAATGTGAAAATCATAATCATGCACATTCTTCGGCTCGTCTGAATGGATTTCTTCCTTGACACAATAATTGCGAAGGCAGACTCAAATAGGAAGACGTATCCAACTTTGACAAAGAAAATTGCAGTAGCAAAAATAGAGAAGTTATTGTTGGTATTTGTTGGAAGTTAATCTCACTTGGTTTAAGTGCAAGATGTTTACTGCCATTGTCGATGACATGAATTGTCGTGGAGCGAAAGCAAATAACAAATTGGTCCATAAAATCCAAATTCATCATTGAGGAATTGTATTTATGGACTTAAAAAAAAGAAAAAAAAAGGAAAACTGAAGTGATATGTCACGAGATTAGACGACCTTTCGTGAAGATGGTCAAGAAAAAACACCAAAAGATGATTTCAGAAGAAAGTTGGCAATAAATTCGGATTTTGCTTTCTTTTACTCTACTCGTTCAATTATCTATCCTTTGCGATTTATGAATAAGTATCTATTTACATTAGGATAGATAGTCATGATCTCATAATTTATTTTTTGTTAGCATGCCATAAAATTAGTTCGTTGGTATATAACTTTGGTAGCATGCTTGAAATTATGTCAAATATTATTTTCAAAATTATAAGACATGAATTAAACTTACACTAATACTTGAAAATATTCTTGAGACCATGAATATATATGTACAAATGTACATATACTTGTTTGATTAGAGAAAGAGATCAAACGGTTTAAAGTGTTATAATGGTTTAGTTGGAAAACCATTTGGAAATGGAATTAAAATTCTCGTGATTTTCTACACCCGTTATGGAGAATAAAATCTTCGTGATTTTCTACTCCTGCTTTGAGATCAAAATCTATGTGATTTTTACTCGTTCATTGAGATTAAAGTCTTCGTGACTTTCTACTCATTTGTCGGAAATTAAAGTCTAAGTGACTTTATACTCGTTTTGGAGATTAAAATCTTAGTGATTGTTTACTCCAATTTATTATTCGGTTTGAAGATTAAAAAACTTCACCGTTAATTAAATTTGATTGTGTCACATATTATTCGCTTTGAAGATTAAAAACTTCACCGTTTATTAGATCTAGTTGTATCAGATATTACTCGGTTTGAAGATTAAAAATTTAACCGTTTATTAATTTTGAATATGCCGGATTGGTTTGAAGATTAAAAAGTTTACCATTTATTAATTCTGGCTCTCTCGTGATACAAACAACAGTTCTTGTGGTTGGCTTAACAACGTAATAGGGGCGTCAAATATGAATCTCCTTTTGAAGAAATATGTTTGGAATATGAAATTATTCACCAAACGAGCGCCCCTTAGTCACCGCAATCTAATGGAATTGCGGAAAGAAAGAATAGAACGTCAAAGGAGACGATGAATGCCTAGTTGATAAGTTCTGGTTTACCCAAAACTTGTGGGGGAAGATATGCTTACAACTAACCGAATACTCATTCACGTTCCCATAGCAAGATACAATCAATTTCATATGAAAAATGAAAAGGAAGAAAACCCAACTTGAAATATTTCTAAGTGGTGGTG